TACATTCCAAAAGATCGCAATTATCAGCAAATGAGCTTCAGAAGGGAGTACCTCCTATCATCTGTGTGATTCACTGAAAAATTTTAGTTTTACATCAACAAACACTTTTTCAAAAAGGAGAGCATGATTTTTTTTTTTAGTTTAAATATACAAATATACTAGTATGACCCAAAGAAGTAATATTACATGTAATATTACACTATGGTTCAAGGGATAAATCCAACCTAATGCCTATTTATTTATTTATTTATTTGGTTTTTCAATACAGAATTTTTATGTAGCTTTGAAGCCTGTCCTGGAACTAGCTCTTGTAGACCAGGCTGACCTTGAATTTACAGAGACCCTTGTGCCTCTGCCTCCCAAGTGCTGGGATTAAAGACATGCGCCACCACTGCCTGGCTCCTACAGCCTATTTTTAAAAAACATTTATCCACCCCTTACAACTGTTCCAAATATAGAGAGAACACCTGACTGTGGCATGCACAACCCATGTGATACACCTACAAGACAACCCTACACACACGTCTCAGAGAACATTGAGGAGGACGGGTTGGCAGACTAAAAGAGCCAGAGGACCAAGACATCTACAGTAAGATAGTGTTTTCTATACACGCCAGGGCAGCTGCGCCCGTGAACCACAACAGTATGGTAAAGAAGGTCGGCATCACAGCATCATCACATGCCAATGCGGATGGGAACTCTCACAAGTCCCCGCACCTGGATGAAGAGCTACAGACACTGGCTGTCAAAGGAGGAAGAATCAGCATTCTCTGGGCATGAGTCCCCCAAGGTTATGCAACCCCAAGTGGTGAGATCCAAATATATACACACAGAATGTATGGGCAGCACTAAATGGATTAAAAGGCTGTATTTATATGTATGGATATGTTTGTATATAATAACAATAATAAAATTAAAGAAGAAGTCATGAATTTGAGATGGAGTGAAAAAGACTTAGGAAGAGTCAGAGAGAGGAAAGGGGGTAAAAATGATGTAAATGTAGCATTTGTGACTGAAATTCTCAAAAATAAAAAAACAAAACAAACAAATAAACAAAAAAACCCCAACAGTTTTTAAACTTAAAAATCAAGGAGGGGGAGAAGGATGGAGCAATGACTCAGTGGTTACGAGAACTTCCTGAGGCACAGGCGTGAGGCATTTCCTGAGGAGCTCACCACAGCCACCTGTAACTCCAGCGCTAGGGGATCCACAGGCACCCACATGGGGCAGAAGCATGCGCACATGCATGCGTGCACACACACACACACACACACACACACACACACACACACACACCCTAGAGTGTGGGGGCAGTGAAAAAGTTCTCAGTACAAAAATCTTCCATATATCAACTCAAAAGGATCTGGGCTGCGTGGAGCTCAGGGTACTGAAGCGATTCTCGGGAAAGCAGCAGAAAGAAGACTGATCCTGTTAGCTTGTGTTTATGTCATCACTTTGTTAAGATAGTTTTTTAAAAATAAGGTCATTTACCTTCTCCCCTTTCCCTAAGGTCATTTACTTTCTCCCCTTTCCTGATGACTGAAGCCTAGATGGGTGTGTAACTTCCAATAGATGCCCTATATACAAATGCTGGATTGCTGCCAGATTGTAGGTAGGTGGGAAGCCCAAAGCTGGGTATTATTTCTTTGATCAAAATATTAATTGCCATTTGTTTTGGTTTTGTGGTGGAAGCTTCAGACAGGCTAGTCAAGTGTTCTGGGACCAAATCATACTCCTGTTCCCAACCCCTGTTTTCTCTGGGGCTGGAGACTGAACCCAGCCCTTGGTTGTACTAAGCACATATTTAATTATCTGAGTTACATCTCCAGGTCTAATCTATTTTTATTTTGTTGTTGTCGTTGTTTTGTTTTTTGAGACAAGGTTTCTCTGTAGTCTTTGGAGCCTGTCCTGGAACTAGCTCTTGTAGACCAGGATGGCCTCAAACTCACGGAGATCCACCTGCCTCTGCCTCCCGAGTGCTGGGATTAAAGGTGTGCACCACCACTGCCCCGCCTAATCTATTTTAAAGGCCTATTTTTGTTTTATGTGGATGAGTGCTTGTTTGCCTGAATGTGTGTATGTGCTGAAATCTATCCACAGAGACCAGAGGAAAGTGCTGGATTCCCAGGAACTGGAATTGCAGACAGTTATGAGCCATCAGAGGGATGCTGGGAACTGAACCCAGGTCCTCGGCGAGGCAGGAACTGCATCTGACCACTGAGGCACCACTCTAGTTCCTCCACTGTTTCAATGGCTAATACTTCAAATGAAGCTTTGAAAATGGCAGTATCATAGATGACGAAGTTTATCCAAGGTGCTGTAGGAATTCCTACCGCCAGTAGCCTTTAAATTACCCGCCCACTTGGGTGTGGCCTCTTAAGTACTATTATGCTGAAGTAAAGCACGCGCCCGGCCTCTTTTCCAGCTGCGGGATTTGGTTGTTGTTCCGCAGAGGACTGTGATCTGTGTGTCTACCCCTAAATAAATAACCTTCTATTATACTCAATTCTGAGCTAGTGTGGGATTTCTTTTAGGCATCCTTCTTCAAACACTCTGACAGTTAGAGCTAATGTGACAGTTTTAATTGTCAACTTGACTCAATCTAGAATCCTCTGTAAAGAGAGTGTCAGTGAGGGATGGTCTAGGTTAGGTGGGCAGGCCTGTGAAGATATGTTGTAGGCCGGCCTGTGGATGTCCTGATTCCCTTGTTAACGTAGGTACACAGCCTAAAAGAGGGCTCTGCCATTTCCTGTTTGGGTCTATCTATAAACACAGATGAAGTGTCAGGTATGGTGGTGCACACCTTGAATCCGAGCACTTGAGGCAGAGGCAGATGAATCTCTGTAATTTCTAGGCCAGCCTGGTCTTTATAGAGAGTTCCAGGGCAGCCAGGAGTGGAGGGAGAGAGAGAGAGAGAGAGAGAGAGAGAGAGAGAGAAAGAGAGGAAGAGAGAGAGAGAGAGACTCTACCTCAAAGGACCAGAACACTAAAGCAAGTGAGAAAGTGCGCTAAGAACTGGCAAGGCCACGTCATTCTTGTTCTGTGCTCCTGATGAAGGACGCAATGGGACCAGTTTTCTCCAGCTCCCGCCGTGAGCGCCTCTGCTGTGAAGGACTGGAGCCTGGAACTACAGGCTGGAGTAAACGCTTTCTGCCGTACGCTGTATTTGTCAGGGTGTTTCATCACAGCCACTGGATGTAAACTCAGACAGTTGTCTTGGCAACTTCCAATGATCTCTCTGAAGATCATTATTGAAGATATTATCTCAATATTGTTGGTTTAAAAATTAGTGAAGTTGTGTCGTGATATTGAAAAAACATGTATTTTATGACAAAAAACTATATAAAATTCAAATTTTAGAATCTCTAAATAAAGTTTGAGTAGAATCCAGCTGCATTTGTTCAAGTTACAAAAGTTGAGCAGCTGTGCCATAGCTCACAAGGTCCTCAGCTCCGAAAGTATCATTCTCTAACCACAGCGAAGTACCAACAGTCAAGACAGCGGAGAACCAGGTCGGAAGTACATTCTCTAACCACAGCGAAGTACCAACAGTCAAGACAGCGGAGAACCAGGTCGGAGGCATGCCAAAGAAAAAAAAAGGGATCAGAATACCTTTACACCAAATAATACAAAAGTTGAAATTCGGGATATTATTAGGAGACTAAAAAATAATTTCTTGGGCTGGAGAGATGGCTCAGTGGTTAAGAGCATTGCCTGCTCTTCCAAAAGTCCCGAGTTCAATTCCCAGCAACCACATGGTGGCTCACAACCATCTGTAATGAGGTCTGGTGCCCTCTTCTGGCCTTCAGGCATACACACAGAAAGAATATTGTATACACAATAAATAAATAAATAAATATTTAAAAAAAAATAATTTCTTGCTAGGCAATGGTGGCGCATGCCTTTAGTCCCAGCCCTCAGGAGGCAGAGGCAGGTGGAGCTCTGTGAGTTCGAGGTCAGCCTGGTCTACAAGAGCTAGTTCCTGGACAGGCTCCACAGCTACAGAGAAACCCTGTCTCAAAAATAAAATGAGAACATAATAATTTCCTAAAAGATGGCTTACGTCAATCATCTATCTGTCTTTGTCTGCCCAACCTGTCCCTCCACCTCACCTCTCACTCACTCCTCAGTTCCCTACAGGGACCCCCCACGTGGCCACTGTCTCAGTCACTGCCTCTCCCCTGGACCTCCACATGCCCGTGGGCAGTCACACTTCTTTATTATTTATATTTATTAGGTGTGGTACATGTGTAGACACGTGTTTGTACACATACAGCCAGTCATCTACACATGTGTATACTAGGCCAGAAGTTGGCATCAAGGATCTTTCTCTGTTACTCTTCATTTTATTTTTCTGAGAGAGTCTACTAACTGAACCTGGAGCTCACCAATTTGGTGGGGTGGCCGCCTAGATGGTTCTGCCTATCTCCGCTGCCTACCCTAGTGCTGGGGCAGCAGATGTGCGCCATGGTGCCTGGCTTCTCTATGGGTGCTCGGGATCTGAACTCGGATCTTTCTGCTGTACTTCACCGACTAAGCCATCTTCGTTTACATTTAAAACCCCCATATTTGGGAGGATTTTGAGCAGAAGGTAGGAGAAAAAAACCAAGCAAATAACTGAAATAAAAGCAACATCAAATGGAAATAAAAGAAATTATAATTTGATAATAGAAAGGATCCATGAAAGGAAAATGATGCAAGTTCCAAAACAAGTGGTTGATTTGGAAGTTACCTACAATGATTAGTTTCTGAAATTGGATCTCACTCTATTGCCCTGTTGATCTCAAACTCCGGGGCTCACATGAGCCTCCAGCATCAATCTCCTATGATGCCTGCGTAGCAGGCACACACCACCACACCTATGTCTATTCCAAATATTTTGAAGATTACATTAAAGAGTCTGCCACTTAAACATGAAGTATTTTAAAGAAATATCTTATTTAGAATTGTTAAGCTAATTTTTTAAATTCTAAAATTGGTTCAATTTACAACCTTAAAGAAAAAAAATAGAATGCTTTATGAATTTGCATATCAAATTTAGGCAGGGGCATGCTGATCCTCTCAGGATTGTTACAGTTTTAGTAAGTGTACCAAAGTGAGCACATCATACAACACTTTTCATGTGCCAACGATGGTTGAAGTCAACGGAGAATTTCTTTCTTTCTTTTTTGAAAAGTAACCGTTTGTTAGAACAAATACAAGAGCATGAACAGCGGGGAAAGAGGATGAAAAGGGGGCGGGGAGAGAATGATGTCTGAATTGGATGTCAGTGTAGAAAGACATAAATAACTATTTTTTTTTAAATATTTACACTTAAAATTATAATACCACTTATCGTTTAAAGAAATCAAAAGCAGACGAATTTGGTTGAAATAAAACCAAGAAAAGTACCCAGAACTCTCGGACAAACCAAAAAGGGTCTAGAGAATTCAATGTCCAAAGGGGCAGACACATCTCTGTGAGTTCAAGGCCAGTCTAGACTACAAGAGCTAGTTCCAGGACAGGCTCCAAAGCTACAGAGAAGCCCTGTCTCAAAAAACAAAACAAAAGAAAATGAAACAAAACAAATAAAAACACAAAAAACACAAAATAAAAAACAAAACAAAACAAAACAAAAAAAACGGAGTCAGATATTAGGGTGCAGGAGCTGAGAGATCAGAGAAGCAGTGCAGCCAGCCACTAGAGGACCTTTTACCTCTACCAAATCCTCAGCCCCAAAGGGGGATTTTGTCCTCAGACTGCATACGAGATCCTGTCTCCTCCAGCTTATATTCCTCTCTCTGCCCCCATATCCCTCCCTGTCTCCACCTCCCTAGTGCTGAAATTAAAGACATGGGACTCCCAAGTACTGGGATTAACAGTGTGTGCCACCATCACCTGGCCTGGTGGCTTAGCTCTGCACTGTGATCTTTAGGCAAGTTTTATATTTGTTAAGACAAACAAAATATCACTACACTCACCCAAAGAGCTGAGGACCTGTGAAGGTCACAGGCCAGGACACACACCCACTAAAGGACTGACAGGTAACGGTAAGGTTGTAGGATGCATCCCCTTCATGGATGTCAGCTCATCATCTCCCCAATGTGGCCAAGGCTAGCAGTCTCCTGCCTCAGCCTCCCAAGTACTGGGGTTAAAGGTGTGCACCACCATACCCAGTTGTATTTTGTTTTGTTTTTGTTTTTCGAGAAAGGGTTTCTCTGTGTAGTTTTGGAGCCTGTCCTGGCACTTGCTCTGTAGACCAGGCTGGCCTCGAACTCACAAAGACCCACTTGCTTCTGCCTCCCGACTGCTGGGATTAGAGGCGTGCCCCACCACAGCCCAGCATGCCCAGCTATATTACAGCACTTGACCCAGGTGGTGTCACACAGACGTTTCCTCCACAAGGTGCTGCAGAGGGGCATGCTTTGGTTCTGACCACTCTTCTGCAGGTGCTCTGACACCAGAATGATTTCAAACATGGAACCAAGTGCAAACTGCGGTCCTCGGCCTCAGTATCCCTGAGTACTTCCTTTCCCCAAGCAGCTGCACGACTGTTCTCATGCTTTGAATTTTTCTTCTCCACAGTCATGATTTCTCGTCACATGCAATCTTTTCTTACCTCAGATAGGTTTTGTAAAATCCAGACCAGCCTTAAGGTGGCATGCTGGGTGGTGAAATTGAAGTGACTGGCTATTGACATTAATTTACTTCTACTGAAAAAGTGAAGAACTCGGCAGGCAGCACGCAACAGCTGTTTTAAAAACAAAAGATATTTTTAAGAAAACACAATTAATGGTATTTAATCCCTGCCCTCTTATTTTTGCGACAGGGTCTTATTATGTAGTCTTGGCTGGCCTTGAACAAACACAGAGATCCACCTGCTTTTGCCTTCCAAGCACTGGGATTAAACTCATGTGCCACCATGTCCAACTGAAGCACTTACTTTCTGAGATTTACTTGTTTATTTTATGTATGAGTGCTTTATTGACTTTATTCCAGAAGAGGTCATCAGATCCCACTATAGATGGTTGTGAGTCTCCATGTGGTTGCTGGGAATTGAACTCAGGACCTCTGTAAGAGCAGTTAGTGCTTTTAAACTCCAAGTCCACTCTCCAGCTCTTAAGTAGTTTCTTATAAAACAAGACGCAGAGGCTGGAGAGGAGGCTTGGTGGTTAAGAAGTATTTGTTACTCTTGCAGAGCACCTGGGTTCAATTCCAGCACCCCCACATGATGGCTAACAGCCTCCTGTAACTCCAGCTCCAGAGGATTTGACACCTTCTTCTGACATCTGTGGGCACTGGGCACAGATGTGGCACACATACATACATGCAGACAAAACACCCATGCATGTAAAATAAAAATGAATAAGTCTTTGAAAAAATATCTTTTAAGAACAAACAACACCACAACATGGAGCCAGGTGCAGTGGTACACACTTCAGCCTCAGCACCTGGGAGGCAGGTAGGAAGACCACAAGTTCAAAGTCAGTCCGGGCTCCGTAGCAAGTTCTAAGTCAGAGGCTACAACGGAGACCCTGGGCTAAAGCAAACAATGGGAGATGGGTCCGAGGTGCGGGGGCTTGTTGTGCACAGAAGAGGACTAGGTTCTGATCCCCAGGACCAACATAAGTGCCATGAGGGTGTGGAGGCCCACCTGGGACTCCCCAGACGCCTGCACTCACGAAGAACACTACTGTAGCTCAGGCATCAACCACAAGGCATCAGAAGGCGACACCGGCAATACTGAACCTCGTTGATGACACCAGAGGTGGCAGACTGCACCGTCTGAGGGGCCAGAAAACTGCTTCGTCTTTTTCCTCGACAGCGTGGGGACTCACAGAGATGACACAACAGCAGCCAGTGCACAATGTTTTTACTGTCATTGTCATCACTGCCCGCCCTTCACCGGTGGCCAGCAAGGCACCAGGCGTATTGTGCAGAACTGTAAAGTCTGCTGGCTGTCAGTATCTACTCACTTTGTTAGAAACAATGATGCAGTTTGGTCATTTCGATTCACGTAGTCTATATCTTTTTTCTTCACTCAGGCAGAAACACAAATTCTCTTAATCACGTGACGCATAGATCCACTCTGAAATCCCTCCAGCCTTCCTGAGGGCCAGTAGTGAAGTGCTTAAATCTACTGCAAATGCTCTTGGGGGTTAGTATTATATCTCACTTTTGGGGAAAATGTATGATTGATTCTTTTAGTCTTAATGTCCTAAACCATAAAAGGTAGGGGACTCGGGGCTGGAGGGATGGCTCAGCGTTTACAAGAGCACTGTCTGCTCTTCCAGAGGCTTGGGGTTCAGTTCCCAGCACTCAGCACCCACATGGAAGCTCACAACTGCAAGATCTGACACCCTCACACACAATGCAGGCAAAACACCAATGCACACTAAAAAATAAATTAATTAATTAAAATGAAAAAAGGGTAGATTTAAAATTAAATCTACAGCTGAGAGACATTTATAGCAAAAAGTCAAAAACATTTGATTAAAAAATTTACCTTCATTACAAGAGAATTATTCCAGGATTTTACAAGTTCAGCTGCCCTTAGGTCTTGCCAGCTAATGAAGTTGTGAAAATGATGTCCTGTTTTCCTAAGAAAGATGGAAATAGTAAAGTATAAATCAGATACATACTTTGGTCAGCCACAGAGGGCTGGGGAATATTGTCAGGACACTAGCTAGAATGTGTGAGGCCCCAGGCTCGACCCCTAGCATAAAAAAGAAAATGAAATCTTCTAAAAGAGAAAACAACAACAACAAAAAGACACACTATAATTTCAAAATACAATCAAGTAAATGGAACTTTCAATTGAATTCTCTTTTGATTTTATTAATTAAATAGCATGGCTTAACAATTATGTGACGTTAACTGGATCGTGGCTTATTCAGATTTTAAGAGGCTGAAGCAGGAAGACAGCCACAAGTATCACACAGTCTGGGATGCAGAGTGAGACCTTGTTTCATAAGCCAAGCTGCCCCCAACAAACCAGAAATATTATCTAACACATTGTATCAGATTTTGAATAGACTTTACCCCAAAAGACTGTCCTTTTGAAACAATGTATAATTTCTTTTTTTGGAGGGGGGGGTGTTTCAAGACAGGGTTTCTCTGTGTAGCTTTAGAGGCTGTCCTGGAACTAGCTCTTATAAAGCAGGCTAGCCTCAAACTCACAGAGATCCTCCTGCCTCTGCCTCTGAGTGCTGGGATTAAAGGCACGGGCCACCACCACCCGGCTGAAACAATGTATACTTTCAACACCAAAATTAATGGACAATGCCTTTGAGATAGTTTTATGTTTTAGAGAGCCAATAGGCCTGGCACAACCGCACACACCCTTAATTCCCAGTACTACAGAGGCAGGCAAATTTCTGAGTTCTAGCCCAGTCTGGTCTACACAGCAAGCTCCAGGTCAGCCAGGGCTACATGGCAAGATTCTGTCTCACAAAACAAAAAAAAATCAAACAAAATGTCAATGGTTCCCCCTTCCTCACGTTCACCTTGGCACAGTCATGTATAAACTTCCAACCCACAGCAGATCTAGGGTACCCCTCAGCCTCTCCACATCTCTCAGCTTTAGAACTGGGCATCTAAGATGATTACTAAGATGTATCCAACAAAGAAGAGTCCAGGGCCAGTGAGATGGCTCAGCAGTGAAAGTGCTGGCTGCTGAGCCTGATAACCTGGATTCAAAGACAAGAGTACATACTGGAAGAAAAGGACCAGTTCCCAAAAGGGCCTCCACGCCTGGGGCACATGCCTTTAATCCCAGAACTCAGGAGGCAGAGGCCAGTCTGGTCTACAAGAGCAAGTGCCAGGACAGGCTCCAAAGCTACAGAGAAACCCTGTTTGGAAACAAACAAACAAACAAACAAACAAACAAACCCCCCCCAAAAAAAAAAAGAAAAGGAAGGTTCTTCCACACATACACAATGACACGCTGTGGGATAATGCTCTCGTACACTGTAAAGATTTGTCACTTGTACTTGGTTTAATAAAACACTGATTGGTCAGTACCCAGGCAGGAAGTGTAGGCGGGGCAACCAGACTAGGAGAATTCTGAGAAAAGGAAAGACAGAGCCGCAGTCTTCATTCTGAAGTAGAAGAAGCAAGATGAG